GTGATTACAGGCCGTTCTGGTTGGAAAAATTCGCCACTTTGGAACAACCCCTCAGTCAGTGACAATGCTGAGGAGGTTCTTCCCATGACTGTTTTTGCTTTGAGGCTTCTGAACTCTAGGTGAAGGCAAAAAAAAAAGTGACTATTAAGCTGGTGATTGGGATTGCACAATTATTTCACCAGTGACCAGTGCTGCAGGTTATGACCCAGTGTCTCAGTGACAAGTAAATTAGTCCATGAGGTACAGTCATTAAAAGGAGTGTAACAGGTTCAACATGGATGACTGTGCTCCCTTTGAGCCTATGGGACAGTAGTTTCTCCAAAGTGGAGGCTGCTGCTGCTGAAATGGCATTTTTTAGTTCTCAGGAGAGTCCCCAGCCCTCAGAGGAGAGCTGTGATGGACAAGAGCATGGACGGATGAAGGCAGGAAGAGTTTGTCCACACCCATCCCAAAGATTTACAGGCTCCAGGGAAGGCAAGGAGCCAGGAGTAAAGTGAAATATCCTCAATGAATAATTCATTTGTTGGAAAGTGGTTTTTCAGGGAAACTGAAGCCATACAGAGATTTGGACAAATTCAGCTGAAACACTCTCAGCCATAAAAAAGATGGATAGGAGGGGAATATACAAAAATCTTGAAATATGTTGTAATATTTTGTTTCAACCATCTGGATAGATTCCTTTAAAGGGCACATTCAAAACCTTGGGTTTTTGTCTCAATTAATTTTTCTTTCTTTTTTTTTTTTTTTTTAATATACATAACTTAAAAGAGCAAATGTACTAGAAGGTGCTAAATGATCTGAAAAAGAAATTGATGCTGATTTGTATCCTCAGGCACTGTTATTTTGTTCCTTTTATGCTTGCATGGGAAGCCCAGGACTAACTGACACAGCGGCCAGCATCGAGATTTGTCTGGTCAGAGCATCTCCTTTTCCTGAATTCTGGTGTAGTTCAGTGAAGCTGCTAATAGCACGGTTTCTGGGAAAACACAGGAAACATAGCTTGTGTTTGTAAAATCTCTGGTGTATGGGTTGGAAGGTTTGCACACCTCGGTGAGAAGATGGAGGAGGCTGGTTTTGGTGAAGTTCACATTCACACTGCTACCTGTGGCCAGGTGGCCTGGCGAGCCTCGGGGGAGAGAGTGCTCTCGTACTCTCTTACCAGATGCACATAAACCATCTCCTTGGTCAGTAGTAGTGTGGAGCAGGGCATGTGTTGGTGCTTTAGGGCAGGAAAGCTAACAGGTAAATGAAGTGCTAGGCTAGAATGATCCCCTAAGAACAGAGAAGCTTCAGAAGGTTCAAGGGCTCTGTGGCACTGTGGGATACAGTTTCATTGTGCACTGTGTAAATCATGAGGAATTGTGACACACTGGCAAGGCAAAGACAGGAAGATCCTGGTAGTCATTCCTATTTGATAATACTGGTTTTCTTCATTAGAATTACTGTCCGATGCAACCTAAATGTACCATGGTGCTTAAGTTAAAGCAGTGTGAGTAATTTAGTCAATTAATTAGGTGGGGGTAGCACTTACCTTCCATTGCAAAGGGATCAAAGGAAAACACTTAATAGCATTTATGTTCTTGTTGTTCTGCTCCATACCTTAGCATCAATTCATTCAAATAAACCTCTGACCCAAATGTTAATGTAAGTTATTATATTAAATTATTCGCTTTGGTGAACATTTCTACCCTGTATCAATGTCACGACTGCTGGAACTCAACACATGCTGCTTTGTAGTAACTGGAAGTGGACACATGAGTGGCCACATGAGTGAGGAATACCCAGATAGCTCTAAACCTCTGGCCTTCCCCTATGAAGTATTTCCTTGTTTCTTCCACCAAAAAAACACGTGCAGAGAAGCTGAGAGGGAGATTCCACAGATAGACCCGGGCCTCCAGCACTTGTGGGTGTCAGTGTCCCCAGATGAAGGAACCTGAATGGAAAATTACTAGAAGGGGAGCATTAATACAGAGAAGAATTTGAATTGGAGTTTATGGATACTTTTTATTTGTGGTCTTTTGCTGTTTAAGTGTTGTGGTTCAGTACTGGGGCCTCTGCAGAAAGAAAGGGGCATGGAAAATAAAGGATAATTTTTCCTTTGACCTCATTATTGCCAAGGTTTCCCTCCACATCCCTGAGGAATTTATATTAGAGAGGTTTATTCTACTAACAATCTATTAGCAGGATTGGCCCCTTATTGAAAGCATGATGCAGTGCATAAGATTAAATAAGGTAAAATAAGATTAAGTTGTAAGAAGTTAGACTGTGTGTGGACACTGAATGTTTTTACTTCTGTGCTAGAGGTATTCACTTTGGTCGTTGATTGCATTGTGAACTGAGCCATTAGAAGTGGCCCAGACCTTGCTAACACTGTCAGCTAAGAGTAACACATGTAATACATTCCTGGGGAGATTCTTCAAGTTTGAGATACCAAGTTGTTTTAATAGCCTGGACTTTGATTTTGTCTGTGGTCATGCTGTGGAGTAAAGGCAATTAAATTATCTCAATGTCATAAATATATTTAATTTTTTTCTTTAGAATGACATATCATCTTCTTCAGCCATTTAATAGAATTTAATACTGTTTAGGATTTTAAAAGACAAGGAGAAATGAGGCTTTATTAAATTCAGTAAGTCCTTTGCCTAGGATATTTTTCTACTTTAAAGATTTTTCTACTTGAAATAAGTGAGACTCATTTCATGTTTCCATTCAAGAGTTTGACAAATGGTAGTGCTGTACACAATCACAAGAAATAAAATCTTTTAGGACACGAGCAGCAGGAACAGGGAGATGGCTACACAGCTGGTTTTGGTTGTATCTCTGATAGAAGAATCTTTGCACTGTCCCTTAATACTATACAGAAGGTGGTATAGGTCTGTGGCTGTGACTAAATGTGTGCTATGGGTACTTGTGTGTTGGTTCACTGACCTTCGTTCAAGTGTTACATTTTCCTCTGCTAAAGGTTTTTGAAAGAACAGAGCGGTCTTTCAGGTGTAGGCCATACCAGATCCACATCTGTGTGTGTGAGCATGAGAGACAGCTGTCTCAAATGATTTACTGTAACTCTGGTCTCTGTCTTCCACTTTTGGCATTTTTCTCCTGTACTTCTCCCAGGAACAAAGAAGGGAAAACCCAGAGACTGCAGTGACACCTATTAAGGCTTTCTCACGGATTGCATTTCTCAATCCGTAGCCTCAACAAATGCTGAACTGCACTATATTCAGTGTTTCAACAGGCAAAAAACCAAACTCTTGCACACCAGCCCTTCATAATGTCGCTGACCACTGTCACTCAGTCACTCATATATACCCAATACATGGGAAGCTTTAATACACATGCTGTGTTTTCTCCCAAAATACTGCATGTAGAGCCAAAGCTAGATACAAAATAGTTGAAAAACTGATAATCACCCATGAGATCTGTTTGAATCCAATATTGCATTCCTGTCCATGAGATTAACACTGCACTGCAGCAGTGTATGTGGAGTTTTCACATGCATGATCTTGGGCAAATATACAAGCTTTTTCCCCAGCTGGTCATGTAACAGATCCTTTTCTTAGTCTCCAGTTCTGTGTATCCAGTTGAGATGTAAGGAGAGGAAAATAATTTGACTGTATTCCAGTACCATGTACGCTAAAGCCTCGTGTGCACCTATGATCTACTAGTGCCAAATAGATGTAGTTAGTGTGGTACTTTTGGTAGTGTTTGGTCTTTGTAAAGATTTAAGTCAGTTCAGACTGAATATTGGGTAGTACAAACTGGATTAGCTACAGTCATACTCATTCTTCAGTCTAAAGGTATCCATTTGCTAAGGTGGACAGCAGTTTATGTAAACCCTGTTGTTTCCAAACAGTTACCTTCTTCAGTACCAAGCACTGCGTAATGTCTTGAAACAGTTATTCTTTCATATTACGTTCAGCACATGAGTGATGGGCTTCAAGAGGGCAGTAAAAATGTGTATGGTTCATCTGGATGATTTTTGCTGTTTTCTGGAATTTGAGTTAATGAAAACAAAGTTTGAGAAAACCGCTTGGTTTGTTTTGGTATTTTTGTTTTGTTTTGGGTTTTTTTGTTGGTTTTTGTTGTTGTTGTTGTTGGGGTTTTTTTTCCTTTTTAATTATCTCAATCCCAGCTTGCATTATCTTCCAGAAATTCAGTATTGAATCCAGCTGGAAGTGACTGCAGTATTATTTTGCCATAGCACTAAAGCGTTTTGTCTGGAAGCTCAGCTATTTAGATTACATGTCCCTCTTGAAGCTTAATGTTCAAGAGCTCTTCATTAGAAACATCAATGGTATTAAATACAAAATGGATCTAGCATGATGTTATAAAAAAATCAGAGCAGTAATGCAGTATCCACTTGGTATAACATTTCCATTATAATAAATTTCATGTAACTCTGAATTCTTTAACATAGAGGAGGGTAACTAAAATAACACAATATATTTATTTTACTACTAAAAGCTTTAATGAACTTCAGGAAAATAGTTTCAATACAGTGTTGTAAAAGCTCTGTTACCTTGTGCACACTGACCTCAGTCCTGCAAACAATTACACTTGGGCACAACCCCGCTGACTGCCAATGGCCAACTTGTCTGTAAAGTGAAACATGCGTGTGTATACTTGTAGAGATCAAGGCCTCGCTCTAGTTTGGAAAATTTGAAATATTTTAACCAATGGGTAGGTTTTGCAGCAACACTCCAGCAAGAAAGTTTTCCTTAAAATCAGGCAGATAAAGCTTTTTTTCTCTGCCACTGACTAAAAGCTCCTTCTAGCTGGTACTGAATAGGAAGCTGCCAGGTGTGCCCTGTGAACTTGGCCACATTTCACAGATAACCAGCCCGCGGCAGGTTGGTGAGGCCTATGCCTTGGTCCTTCACCATGCACAGCCACCCTCATTGCGGTAGGAGCTGTCCTCAAAGGAGGTGCCTCAATTTTAAGCCAGAGAGAGAACCAGTTCCCCCTCCAGTCTCTTAATTCCCTGTTGGTTTCTCCCACAGCTGGCTGTTCCACACAACGACGAGTGGACCCGCTTTGCTCGGACCTTGGTGGAAATCCGTGCCAACCGAGCAGACAGTGAAGAGGAAGGGGCAGTGGAGCTGTCAGCCTAGAGGAAGAGGAGCTGCAGCGCCTGCCACCGCCAGAACAGCAGCTTTCACCCGCTGAGTACACCGGTGTTCAGTGTCAGAGTCTGTCTTGCTGTGGCTTTTGATGCCAGTGTACATGCCAGTATTGCTCAAAGCATTCTATATTAATCACACTGCTTTACACAAGGCTGAAAATATCCAGAGCATTTTCATACTTTATATTTCTGTCTGAAAAGTAAGAAAGAAAAGACAAATCAACCCTTTATGGGTTTAGTTGTTGCCTTTTAACTACTTAGTAGCTGTATTTAATAGCTAGGAACCCCTGGTTAAACTTGTGCTCACATTGCCCTTCTGGCATAGTCCTATTAAATCCATATGAAGCCAGATATGATTATGTGCAGATGTGGTGTGCTTCACTGTATGGGACTGGGCCAAAGACTTTAGATGTGGTGTTTCACATGGTGACTTACATTATGAATGGATGTACTATACGAAAGTTGCTGCTCCTTATTTATTGCGGTGTGCTGCATGGAACATATTTATTTGAAAGCATTAAAATAAACGATCCTAAAGCATGTGCATAATGAGAGAACTGCATTGTCTGTGTGCTGCTGTAGAGGTTACATTAAAGTCCACGTAACAATTACAGTACATCAGTTGTGCTTAAGATATAAGATCTATAAAGGTTGGCTTGAGTGGATGGAATGAGTTTCCTTTCCTTTTTTTTTTTTTAAGATGCCTATTATTTCTAGGCACTTTAACTATATTTCAAATACAGTTGGTCACTGATACTTGTCATGCAAGTTAACACTAACAGTCTGACTAAGGGTTGTGGTTCCTGAATATGACACTAGTATTTGCCAATAAAATGTATCAGGCCTGTTCTGTTGCAGCGTGGTTGATCTTTCCTTGCCAGCAGTGCTCAGCGTGTTCATTACCAGTCACTGGTGAAGCACTGGGAAAATGTGACTGCCCTGACTCACAGAATGCTCCTGCAGCTGCCATGTAAATAGATACCTTTGGTACGGGACTGGCCAGTAATGGACTTGAGCGCATCAGATCCTGTTACAGATTTTACATGAGCAGGCACTAAGGCATGTCAGCTTCTAGGTTAATTTTTATTTTTCCTCCATCCTTAGCATGCTCACTTGCACACTTGTGCACACACAGAGAAGCACTGTGCTACCATGTGTGCTAAGAGAAAAGGAATAGGAAAGACAAGGCCTCCTCAGACTGTCTTGAGAGACAGGTTGGGACAGGGGACAAGGGAATAGGCTCCTTTATGATAATCTCTGAGAAAAGAAACAGAGTGCAGACTGATCTCCTTGAGTGCTGTGGTCCAGAGGGATGAGAGTTGGTGGTGAGGCTGCTTGATACATTCATGTCACAACACTGCTGGGCCAGAGCACAGCTCTGATGCCTGGATTTAGCAACGGTTCACACTCAGAGCCATGGGGTGAGCCATTACAGAAAGAAATGCTGCGAGTCAGACAAGAAAGATCTTGTATGTTGTTTGTAGGGAGCCACGTCTTGTCTTTGCGTAATCATGTTGAGGAATATATCATCTAATCATCTTTGGGGCTATAGTCTAAGACTAGGCTAAGAAAATGAGTCCTTTGGAAAAGCTACATTTCCCTTATCCTCTTGGTGGTTAGAAATAACTCCCAATGAGAGTGCATGAAGAAGGTGCTACTTTCTTCTTCACGGTGCGAAGTGAAACTATCTGCCAGTGCCCATGGAAGTGTTCTGCCATTGGGCTGAGAGGAGTGTTCTCCCAGATGACCGACTACACACAGCAGAGATACATCAGTCATTGGTCCTGTAGCTCCCTGAGGTTGTAGCCATGTGTTAAAAAGCTGTGTGTTCCTGCTGCTCCCCTGGGTGCTTTGGGAGCTGTCCTGAAGGACCAGTGTAGCACTTGCAGTACTTCTCTAGCTTAAAGGTGAATGCTAACAGCCAGGTGAGATAACTGTAAAGCAGCAGTTTAGACATTACCTCTGGGGTTTTTCTCCAGTTTTGCCCTATTTTTCTTTCAATAACCACATGGAAGTGTTATCTGTATATGTGGGTAAAGTAGTTGTGGTACAAAGTGGAAGTGGGGGAGGCACAGTTGGCCCACACTTGGGTCACAAGATTAGGAACACGTGCTCAGGCAGATACACAGCACAGTACTGCTGTCATGGGAAGCAGAGGTGGGTACTTGCTACCTTTCCACCTGCTAAGTAAATCCACACCTTAAAGTGTGGGACACCCTCCTGTTACACTGTGGTGTAACAGGAAGGGTGTTTAACTGATGTCATCTCCTGTTCATCGTAACCAGTGCAGTGGGAATGGCTGGCAGATACGCTTCTTCTTTTTCCATATTACTGTTTGGGGAGGCTGCATGTTCATGTCCAAGCTTCCCTACTTTATGGCATTAATAGCTTGTAAAATGGTTTTAAGGGCAGCCTCAGAAGACCTTCAGCATTTACTGCTGTGTGCGAATCAATATAACCAATACTCCTTTTTTAAAATTTTTCCTTTTTTTTTTGGTGTGAGGTTCAGCAGTACACAGAGGGAACAAGGAAAAGATGCAGATTTCTACAGAAATGACCAGGTTTGTAAATACAGAGCAACAACATGAAAGGGCCATTTCACACAGCTAAAAGTAGATGGAAGAGCACCCAAGAAGAAGAGGCATTTACTCTCCTTCTGTTGCTTGTGATGTTGTGTGGTGGAATTTCTGACCCGCCCTTGTTGCCGCCCTTCCAGGAATCTCCCACAGTTCTTGTTTGTTTGATTTTCCTGCTGCTAAACAAATAGCTCCACTTTACTGGCTTTCCAAAAAGAGCCTGTATGACAAAATGTTCCTCAGAATCTGCCCAGTAGGGAAATAAATACAAAATTATCATTTATTCTGAGCAAAGAGATATCATCTTCTCCAGGTTCTTTAGCCTACAAACATACAGAGAACAGAAGGAAGAACATGAAGAGTGTGTCCCATTCTCTAGCACTGCTGGGATGCTGCCATGACTGCTCTGGGTGTGGAATGAGTCAAAAACAGCCTGGCTCTGTTTTAGGACCATTGCAAGTAAGCTTTCTGTGAAAGACATAAACTGTGTGCTCAGACTGATCTGGAGAGCACATCTGAACCACAGAGGTCAGAAAAAGCAAACCCAACTAGGACAGAAGCAGGCAAGTGGCAGGAAAAAGCTGGATTGAGGTTTAGGATGGAGGACTGCGAGGTGGATGTGGAAGGGACACGTCTTGAACTTGATGAAGGGAAGACTTTGATTTTGGTGCCAAGGACTTGGGATTTGTTCTGAAAGAAGGTGTGAAAGGACATAGCAAGACATGACAGGTGGCACTGGGGGTGGGAGCTGAAGGCATTTGCTAAAAGGGGAAGCAAGGTACTTCACCTTTATGACATGTACTCTGTTCAAGAGCCCCCATGGTAACATCGAAAGAAGATGAGCTCACAGAGCAAAACGGCATCCCATGTAGAGTAAGATGGTCTCCACTGACCAATGACAAAGGAGACTCTGCTATCATCAGGGCAGCATCAGTCCTAAGGAAGGACTCAGCACCTAATGGTGCTAAAGAGTAGCCACCTGTCCTTGAGAAGCTCACAGAACTGGTTCTCCTTCAAAGTCACGAGAAAAGCTCTGTAGTAGCACCACCATGTCTGGTACACAGTGTCTGCACAGCTTGGGGTGCGAGTAAGCACAGAGAGAGGCCAGGCAACCCTTTGCAATGTAACTACAGCAGCTGGAATGAATCTTGCAAGCAATGGTACTGCTTCCTGCTGCAACGAGGAACAGTGCAAGTAGCAGTTAAAATGATAAACATGCTTCTTAAAATGTCATGTCTCTGAGGGGCAACAGACACCTCAATGACGTTCAGCACTGGGAGAGGCTGCCCGAGCTCACAGCCTGAATTACCCACTGCCCACCGTGCAGAAAGCAGAACCACCGTATGGCAGGTGGCATTAAAGAAGCTGCTTCATGCCAGGCTGCTTCTGTGTTATTTGCTGTGTTTGAAGCTCTCTGGAGACACTTAAAATATAAATGTCTTGAGACTTCTATATTCCCAACCACTAAATAACTTACAAATGATCACCATCTCTGGAAATCGCCTTCTACCTTATGCAAAAATGGCAAATATTTAAACTGAAAACAAAGTCTGAATTTCACAGCAGTGTTTAAATGGCAAAGCTGTAGGATTCCCAATAGTCCCTCTGCCACGTGTGCATTGGAGAGCTGAGGAGCTCAGCAGTAGGCAGCGTGACATGTATGCACATCACGGAGTGTACAGCAGACTGTCCCCTCCTAAGAAGATGCAGAGCAGTTCGTCAGGTTTTATATTTTTAGCAGGTTTAGAAAAACCTGCTCAAGTTATTTTCGAAGCCTGTGGTATGTTTGCTCACACAAGTGTCCCTGCAAACTGTCAATATTAAGTCAGCTTAAACCCAACCAATTCTCTGGTGACTAGGCAGAAAAGCATCTCTGGGCTTCTACTGGACTGAGAAACACAAATATGAGGTCACTGCTCCAGAGACACCCCTGATGGGTAACATCTCCAGTATTTGGCCATTTCTTTTTTTCTAGAAGTGCTGTCACAGGGAGTTAGCTGGACTGCAGGAAGCAAGTGAGGTTACATTTTATCCATTTGCATAATTCACTCAGAAACCCAGAGAGGACAAACATTGTCCTCAGGGCCTTTTGTTTGTTTGCAAGGCAATCTGACAATTTCTTGGCCTGTAAACTTTTCAGAGCAGGAATGCATCCTTTTGTGTCTAGAGGAAACCGACTGCAGGCACAGATCTTCCCCAAGATCTTTGAAATGTTTTGAACTGGGTTGCCTGTTAACCAAGCAGCCACTGGCTCTTCAACCCTTCTGCCCCTGCCTCCACTGTCTACTGGCTCTGAAAAGATGGGCAGAAGGAGAGAACAATCCTCCAGAAAAGTTAATGGGGAAGGGAAGGGCCACCATGGGTGGGAGTGTCAGTCAGCCCTGCTGATGTGCCTGCCAGGGAGAAGATGAAGGCTGTGGCCTTCTGAGATCGATCTGCCATAGGAGAGCTGTGCCTGATCTTTGTCCCTGGGATGAGAGCTTTCTCCTTCATCCCTGGAATAAAGAACAAGTCATAAATATACTGCCAGGCCTGGGAATGAGAGGGCACCAGGAAGCAGGGAAATCAGTGTGAGTTATGCTTTGTTTTGTGGAACACAAGCAACAGTCTTTACCACACAAGCCAAGAAGTTGTGCAAGCCTGACAATAACCCAGTTCTAATTCCTCTTCTGTTCCTAGCTGCAAAGCCCCAGCAGCACTGGGGTTTGGTGTCAGGCAGCAGAGGGACATGCTCTGGAGCGTACAGCCTGGGTGTCCCTCTCCAGGCTGAGCCAGGAGGGAGCAGCTGCCGGCCAAGCCCATGCACATGGCCAGGCACTTCCTCTCCTGGACCGGGAAGAAGGCGCAGTTCAGTGCTCAGACATCGTCCCTGAGCTGCTGACTTTCCACAGAAACTCTTGACAAGGTATGTCAGGCAAATGCAAGGGAGGAAGTGTAAAACCAGCTCTTATGCAGCCTGAAATCTCAGGTGTCAAGCACAGGTAGCTCCCAGAGAGAATGTTTAACTCTTATGACAAGCCTTAACCAAAAATCCTGACAGTTAATTTTGAAGAAATACAAGGGACAGCTTTTTTTCCTTCCATTTCTGAAATGAAGGAGCTGTCATCTGGGGAGACTCGGCTACACAGGGTTAGGAGGAAGCAGCTGGTGGCTGTCAGAGCCCAGCGCAGTCTCTGCACACTGGTTTAGCCAGACTCCAAGATGCAGCTTCAGATAAATGTCATCTGCTCCCCATGCCTTAACATGCCTGAGTACTGCAGACGCTATTCCTGCCCTGCCTCAATTTCACTAGTAACTTCAAAATACAAATTAATCCAAGAGAATAATTTTTATGATGACCCAAACACAAATGCAAAACGAGTGTGATTTCCATTTCAGGATTTCCACAAGTTACAGCACAACAATATGATATTGCACACCAAACTCATTCTTCTCCAAAGATGCTGCATCTGTGCATTCCCTCAGTTTACAGCCAAGGTTGCAGGCAACTACCCAAAGGAGACAAGCAAGACCAAATTCCTCCTGATCTTAGGAGATATCATAGAAGACACCCAACAGGACCTTCAAGTGACTAGGTAATTAAGCTGTTCATAGCTGTTAACCTCCACCCAAAAGTAAAGGTCAAAATATCAAAGCTTACTCCAATCCTGGCTTTTGACTGAGGAAAAGTTTCTTTTTTTTTTTTTTTTTTTGAGTGACATCTCCATCAATAGATGTCTTTTCTATGCAGGGGAATTGAGGTAATTTGTTCTCAAGCTGCAGGTGTTTTTGTAGCCTATAAGTGCAAATATTAACTTTATCTTAACCTGACTTTGTAACTGAAGTTGAACAAGACATTTGATGTACTGCACTATTTCCGTTACAGAATACCATGTGTGCATCTGTTTGAAAGGTTTATTTCTATCTGCATAAATACAGAATTTTCTAAACACTGTGCAAGGCACCAAAAATTAAGTAAAATCTTTTATTTTAGATTATTTTAATCTCTTTTGACTTGATGAAGTAAATAAGAATCTGAAACCACCTATTTGCCAATTACAAGCCAGCAATTAAGGCAGGTACCATTGATACAGTGCATGAATTTTCTATTGCAGTTATTTAAACAAGCAGCGTTTTACTATAGAAGTGCATATACAAACTGAATTCCAAACACCAGCAACCCAAGATAGGCACCTAGTTATGAAATTTCCTTGTATGTGTAGTAGAATGCCAAAAGTTCTGCCATAAAGTGCAAAGACTATGGACAATAACACTTTCTTTTGAGCATTTTGATACCAGTAACATAATACAACGGCTAAACATTTATAAATGTGGTTTTCATTACAAAAACATGTTCCACATAAAAGCTTCATAATACGATCCAGAAACAGAAGTTGTGCGTGTACAGATTTAAAAAGTTGAAGCTGTACTGGCATACTTAGGTACCGGGTATATATTTGCTGACCTCTGCAGACACGCACCAAGTTTATAACCAATTTACACATACAGTCAAAATCATTCTGCTTTGAGCACCGTGATATCCACTGAGTTTTTCCATTCGAGTGACGATGTGCGACATCTGCCCTGGTAATCTGCAACTGCGCACTGCCTGTAAAATGATCTGGTTCACAGCTCTCACCCAGCCCTCCCTAATAAACGGAACCTAAAATTAGTGTCTTCCCAACACAAGCACATGTCAGATGTGGACAAATACATTCATGGTCCCAAACTTAAAACAACTGGTAAGAATTTCACAGTGATCTGGTTACGGAAGCACAAAGACAAATGATTACGTTTAAGATGAAAATTACCTTAAAACTCAAATGAAGCTAAACTTTTATATGATGAGAAGCTAAAGGAACAAAGTATTAACCAATTAGAAAAGTGGCTCTTTCCCAACTAATAACAAAAACCCTACAGCAACAAACTTAGGGTCCTACTGCTGCAGCAGCCTTTGAGGTAGGTGGTGATGGCTTAAACCGAGGTAGGTAAAGTCCAAACTTATTTTCAATCCCTGCAAAAGTGGCAACTGCCAATTTATAACCGCCAACATGGTCAGGGTTAGGAGCAGGGAGCGTGATCCTAGATTTAGGAACTGTATCTGATCCAGCTGGTTTTCTGCAAAATAATAAAAACAATAGATTAATTTCCATAGATTAAAATCAGTATTCACAAAAATCTCCTCCATAAAGTAAGTTTAATAAGACATCTGAATGTACTTCCCCATAAGTAACTAAATTAAATGATGCAATGTAAGGAGACATACCCTGTTTTAAAACCTTCCAGAACAGTTAGGAGCCTTCATGATGATGATGGCCAAATCCAGATAAAATTTGTAGTGCATTAATAGAAACTGCAGTGTGGAGCAGCAGGGGTTCATAAGTCTTTGCTTCAGTGCACAACCAATCCAGTATTTAAGTAATTTTTGTTGTGGCTTTCAAACTGCTGTCCCCAAAGATCCATAAACAGTCTGCAGCTGCTCCTGGGATCAAATTAAACAGCAATATGCACATCCCCTGTATCGTTAACAAAGGCAGGAGGCAGAGCTGAAGCCCCAACAACAGGTTTTGCACATGGTGACAACTATAGACTTTTTTGGATGTCAAATGCCCTGTCTAATCAGGTACAGCTGATCAGGTGCAGGGGTACAGCTCCTCCACCAAATAATGAGGATTAATGCAGAGCGTATCCTGACTTGGGAGGTATCACATTTCCCCTGCAGTTACATCCTCAGCCCATTATTTGGCCTCTCACTGTCTCTGTTTACACTAACATAGGTCCTCAGCTTGAAATGGTGATAAAAAATGTGGTAATACCTTGCTATGAAACAGGTGCTGGAATATCATCCCAACCTCCATCAGTGTAGTGTGGTTTAAGTAATATCTACAAAGCCTTTGCAACATGTCCTAGCAAGACCCTGACATGTTGAGGAGCACCAAGACCCAAACAGAACCAAGTGTAGCTTCAGGGTCCCTGGTAGATTCAGGCAATACTTACACTCCTCCAAAGTCCACATACAACCATCTCTGCAGTAGCTCGTAAGTCACCAGAGTTACACCAAACTGAGGAGAAGATCGAAATACACGAGCTTGAAAGAAAAGAAAAGAGCTCCTAAGTGACAAAAGACAACTAGAAATCACTTGGCAATCCAAGCTCTTTTACACACCTCCTGCTCCTTTCCACAGAGCCTTTGGACCTTCCTCTCGCAGGATCTTGGCAAAGCAGTCTACGACGCCGCTGTAGGTGGTCTGTCCTGCCCGGGCTGCCACCTGTAGCCTTGTTTTGATCACATCTGCAGGGGTGACCAAAGAGGCTGCAGGCATACCTGCACAACACAGAAATCATCAGGTGGATACCTCTGGCTTGTCACACGTGATACACACCTCAATTACCCGGGGGTAAGCGGGCCTTTCCTCTTTACACCAGGAGAATCCAGTCACATTTGATTTAAGCAGAAGCTGGGAAGCAAAAAGAGGTGGTTGTTGTGGACATGGCCTCACCCAGAGAGAGCTTTTCCCTGAGGAACAACAATATCATATGCTTCCTGCCAAGCTGGGAGGCATGGACTGGAGTTTTCAGTGCTAAACTGGTACCGTTAGTAAGAACAAAGTTTTTGGAGGTAAGGTTTACCCTTTCCTTTTCATGCCTCTCTATGGTACCTGGCATCCTGGTTGTACACTGTGCTAGAACAGCCTGTACACACACACACACACACACACACAAAAAAACACACCTCATGCAGCAATGTCACCGAGAACCAGATAATGCCATGCATGCTCAGCAAGGCATGGGAGCTAAGGCTTACAAAAAGAGTCATTCTTCTCATCAGGAATGGCAGACTGCTCAGCTGCAAAGCCACGGCTGACATCCTCATCAGAATATTTGGAGAAAGATTTAAATTTACCCTGGCAGGTAATCAACTGAAAGCAAAAAGTACCAAATTATCAATGGGTGGTATTTCTAAAATCATTCCTATCCAAACTGGGGCTGCCCATGTTTGGAATTGAAAAAAAAAACAAAACCAAAGAAAAGCACTGAGACTGTACCCAGAAGACACTGTCTCTTATGGTTTTATTACTTTTCCATTCTGCATCTGTTCCAAACCAACTTGGCTAGATGTATAAATCTCCTTTCCTTATTTTTTTTTTTTTCAGGCTTAATAATTCTGTAACAACTTTTGTCCAAACCAGCATGGTTTGGCTTCAAATTCCAGAGCACCCTTCCTGCAGACTGCTCCAAGAGATCTAAATGTGTGCATATCACCAAAAGAAGAGCTCCTCCTCCTCTCCTGGACCCCCCAAAATAATGCATACGCTGAACTTGCACAGTGGGCTGTCTGGCAGGCAAGTGCTAAAACTTGGTCAGGGTTTCTGAACTCCAGAAACACTGAAATTCCTCTTTGCTTAGCCTTACTCACATCAGGATATTGCTTGAGTCTTCAATTTAAAGACGGACTTTTGTCCTTCAAAAGCCAGCCAGTGTTTTCAAGGAAAACTGAAGGTCATACTTAGAAACAATTCTGCTTACTACACATTGACTTCCATCTTCTTATTCCACACTCTATATTACTGAGGATATTTTGCAGTTAAAGATGTTTTAAATCCTTTTTAGAAGCTACGTGTACAGGACAAAAGACTTTATAGACAAATCGAATTTACAGATTGTTGCCACGAGGAACTTACAATCAGAATGTGACAAATAGCACAGCAGGAGCTGACAATAAAAAAGAGGAGTGAAGGGAGGAGAAGGAAGTTCATGGAGGCAATAAGCAGATGGAGCAAATTAAGGAGAGATCCTGTAGATGATATTAAAATCATTAGAAAATGCCATGGCACAACAGGTTGAGACGTCCGGTGAACAGTGAAAACCAGAAGCAGATCAAGCTAGAAGACATGCATGTTGCCTGTGACCCCACAACAGTGAAAAGGAAGACAATGTAAGCAGCACAAGCAACACCCACTGGCAAAGGACACAGGTGCACATATGACCATGGCCAGCTTGAATAATCCAGCACCATGGGCTGTGGAAATGGGGAGTTTCAAATATGCAGCCAGAGCTCATGCACACATCTGAAGTCTGATGGCCAGGTGAGATCCCTGGCCACAGCAGAGACATCAGCCCAGAGACCGAAGCCAGAGTTTCAGAGGTGGTGGGGTTTTAGTTTTGTCTTCCCCTTGACTTTCTCGTGGCAAAACAGTGGACACGTGCACCCCTGCCAGGCTTTACTTGTACCCAATAAAATAAATTCCTTGGTTTTGTAAACAGTACGATGAACGTTGTATCTCTAACACTATAATTTGCTCATGAGATTTAACCTAGGATGGGATTCACAGGAAGCACTGGATAAAATTCACATTATAGCTAGATTGGTGAGCCATATCGGCAACAATAAAGACTGCTTCTGTGCCTGAACTTCAAAGGGATGGTTATCTCAGTCTGCAATCACCTGACAATGGTTAGAATGAGAAAAATAGGAAAATCTAAGAAATTACTAGGTTAAAAATGCCATCTTATGTTTCAAGTCTGCAAATATGATCTGAAGTTCAAAAATTGTTGTGAGAAATAAGCTGGCTGTAAAAACTCGTGTTACGGGGCTTGGAGCCTGGCCTTGGAATGGGGTGGGGGAGGGGAGAGGACAAGGGGGTTTAAGCAGCAGTCATTGGAACACAGTTGCTTTTGCTAGTGCCAGGTTGTTCCTCTGGACTATGAACTACTGAATAGAGAGCTACATGCTTCAACAAGACAAACCAACTGATCTCAGCTATCATCTAAGACCAGATATTGGCTACAAAAGGACCCTCCTCCTCAAGGGACATGGCCCTGTGTATAATCTTGACAAGAAGAGTTTTCTCAGGGAGAAGAAAGCTCAAAATCAAATGAGAAAACATTGCTAAACCACCTTTCTGTACTGGATTCATGGCACTCCATCATTTTTCTCATGTGGAGGGTTGCAGTAGCCTGCCAGGGGCCACACTGGAGGAAGAACTTGGCTGCAGCTCAGACAGACCAACCAGCCTCTAATGAACATGGTGGAAATATCTCCTGATGTGAGCCCTCCTGCTTGCTACACACCCACCCAGAGGTCCTGTTGCACAAGTTTTCAGGACCATTTGTTTCCTGGGGGAAAAACCATGGACACAGCAGGAGGATGTCTCTCAAGTTGCCCTCTCCAGGGGGCAGCTACCAAATGGTGGTCCCCCTTGGGTGTAGAAGTTGGGTGCTGTGGTGGAACCAGCTTTGCAGCAAGATGAGGCTTACAAAGTGTGTCTCTGTCTTTTCCCTTAGGCTCTGGCATGCTCAAGTTAAATGCATCTGTGAGAATTTAAGCATGATTTGGTTTTCCTGTCTTTGTTATGCAGCAGACTAAAACAAGCAAGTACTCAAGATCACACTCAGCACCTCTGTCATATCTGGTACACTAGGAATTAGCAACCTGAACACCAGCAATGTTTTCAAGCTTTTCTGTTTTGTTTCTCTTTTGATATAAAAAAAGATAAATGTAAAATCCTCAAGAACCAAATAACTTCATGGGACATTGAGGGTAGCAAGTACTGTCATCACTTTGTCACCTGTTAGTCATTGTGTTTGGAGAGTTGTACTGCTAGTGTGGCTTCTGGACTCTATATACCAAAATTCAAGATTCATTTTATCATAAAGAATTTCATGAATGCCATGATTTTCTTTTTAAATCATTTCAACAAAACATTACCAGTCAGTCAGACACAGCCAAAACCAGCACAGTAACTTCACAAGGAATGATGATATATGGTAACAAAATATCAGCACTTTATTTTCCCTTTCTTTCACTTCCTGAACATTATGACTAAAACAGGAACTTGCAGGAACTTAACATGAACTTAACAGGAACTTAACATCAACTCACTCTACAGCACGGTAACTTTGTTGTTTCTGCATAAGCTGCAAATACAGTACTGTTGTATATAATCCTTTCGAGCATCTTTTGTTGTTGTTCTCACTGCCATAACTATTGTGCTGCCTGTGCAATACAGTGCCATGCAAAAGAAATCTGGGCACTTACCAGCTATTGATCCAGCCAAGAGCAGATTTCCAGGGCTAACCCTCCCATCTTCACTTGCAAATGAAGCTTTCAAATGAGCATAACAAGGGAAGTAAATGGCAGAGAAGGGGATATCACGCAAAAAACATGCCTTAGCACCCTGTGTTGAAAAACAGAACAAGTTTTGAAAATGAGCAAATTTAACACCATGAACTATGAGCATCAGAGAACAGAGCAATATTGGGTTTTTTTGGTTTATTGTTGTTTGTTGTTTTTATGGGTTTTTTTTGCTGCAAAGGGCTTATAGAAAAAGCAATTTCTCCTCTCAAAATTTTGAGAGATCCATGTATTTCACTCCACAGAAGAGTGTCTGTGTGTTGTTTCTTGGTTCAGTAATTTCTGTCACTATATGTATCTTGTCTACTTATGCTCCCTCACTCCATGGTACTGTAGTTATGTGCTGGTAAAGGAGAAAATGTCAGGTGTTTGAGTAAACTCTGATACACTTTAAACAGTTGATACTGTAGGCATGAACCTGTAGTGGGAATTCAGGATGTGTTTGAAGGAGATTGAACCACAGGACAGGTCTGTCCTCTCCCATTCCCACTTAAAATAAATACTTCAGGGAAAACAGTGCCCAGTCCATACACCTACAGAGACACTTTAATTTATAATGCAACATATATCAAGGGAAAGAGGCAAACAAAGAGAGTAGGGCCATAACACTACCTCTTTTGCGGAACAGTAACAGTATGATTTACATGTGAATTTTCAAGTACAAGTTATCTAGAATACAGTTTGTTTCAATAAATTTCATCTCCTACTGTTAAATTTGTGGCATAAACAGCCAACGAAGCTACCAGCAATACAGCTGGTTTCCAATCTAAGAGGGTGGTAAACAGGCAGGGAAAGTTTTGGAGTACTAGCAAGGAATCAAAAAAAAGAGCAAAAAGTCCACTAGGGAAGGTCAACCAAAATAAAATATCAAACAATATCCATGCTCCAACAGCAAAAGGGGCTGAATTTCAATCTGCCTTTCCTCAATATGGAGATCTAGAGGACACCAGAGCCTGAACATACCAGCACTGAGACCAGGAGGAAGGCACAAACAAGAGGTGGCTTGGGAAAATGGGTAAAATGTTTCAAGCTTGAGAAAGAAATAGTTCATGAATGAGCCTAAGCCTCTTCTCTTTGAAGCAAGGGTGGAGACCTGGTGAAACAGCTTGAGGTTCATCCACGAACCCTCCTGGAGTGCTTTTATTACTGTACTTCTCTTGTGCACAGGTCTACCTGCTCACGGCTCAGTGCCAGACATTTCCCAGAGCACATGTTAATATCCACATAATTTAACTAAATCTAATTATATGCCTGGACACATCTGTAAGCTTAGCTTGTACTATAATATCAGTTAAAATACAGTGCTTATCCAAGTTAGATGCTGGCTATCAAAGACAAAAGAGCTGCAAGGTGTCAGAAAAACTGTAAAGTTGCCTTCCCATGAGGCAAGCAGGATGTGTGACAGATCCTGTAAGTCAGTTCTCAGGAGATGCTAATAAGTGCAGTTTGCAGTCAGAGAATGCCTATGAGAAAATAAAGGTTTATCTAAAAAGGCCATTAGGTCTTACAGTCAGACTTTTTGTGTGTCACAGACTCAGCACAACACGCTCTGCTCCAGCCCCTGCTGGTTCCCACCACACTTTCTCAGCTTATTTCTTGATGTTTTCAGACTGAGAACTGACCACTGACGCTCCCTTTGGAGGTTAATGACTGCTGCTGTTCAGACCCTTTGCCTTCTCACTCAGTGGGTTTTCTCTGATTTATGCTGCCAGTCACTGGTTCTTGTTATGCCTTTCTAAGAGACACTAAGGAAAATGCCAGAAAGGAACTCAAAAAGTGCTGCCATTGCAGCTGCTCTGCTGTTTGCCCGCACTGAATGGGGTTATCAGCCACAGAACAAAGTGATGCTGGGCTGGATTCTCCTCTCAAAATTACCTGCAAAGCCCATACACTCTACCTTGAGGACACAGAGAAGGTGAATCTTTTGTATTCACCAGAGACAAGAATTACGGACTCTTGTGCGCAACAGAAGCCTGTTTAACAATTTACCTTTAATCTTCACATAGAAAGACAAGACTAGGGTTTTATCAAGTTCTGTATGAAAAACTCCCACTTTTTAAGAATCAAATGTCTGCCCTGTATTCACTTCACAGAAAAATTATGAAACTCACTAACAAAACATTCACAGTCTGACATGGTTTCTTCAAAGATTTATTTTTAGAGCATGCTTTTCCTCAGAGCAAATCTTCTCACTGCCTTTGCCCTCAGGGCACATTACTTTTATTTGCTTTGCAATGTTGTCATTAAATATTGTGCACATTTTTTCCTCTGCATTTTTTCATACTCTGAAATATTTTGACATGGTTAAAATAACTTACTAAAATCAGTAAACTCCAAATGCAAGCAACTCTTAGCTCAACCTGAGCTGCTAATATTCTTCCCCCTTCATTAAAAAGCTCTCTTTCATGGGGCAGAAGTGGCATATTGTTAATATTACTAACAGTATACATTCAGGTATAGAGGGAGGGATGTCCATCAACTTAGTTGGCTCAGTGTAAACAAAACCTGGATCAAAACTTGGATCCACTTTAATAATAACGCAGCTTGGATCCAGTCCAGCACTGCAACAGTCTAAAGTTTCCCCCCACCGTTCCCGTTTAAAGTCTGGGAAAGCATATTTAAAAGCAGGCTTCATTTAACTTCAAGTTAATCATCCACAACCAGCCTACGCCAATTAGGAAGGCTTAGGGAGATTGGCCACAGCATCTTGAAAAGCAAAAGACACATTTATTTTACTTCTTGCACCTTTTTGATGTGGACAACATGCTGAAAGCCAAAAGGAGTTTTAATCAATCCCCAGAAAGCTGTAAGGATCATCCGCCCAAGTTTATTCTGGCAGCCAAGGTGCAGACCTGCCAGGCATGAAATTGTTGGGAGATCCTACACACCACGACATGCGCCTCCCTCGAACAAGAGCCAGTTGGCTCCCATCTTCAATCTCTTTAATAACCTTAAAGCTCTTAATCTGGGATAGTATCTTGCTGAATAAACCAACGGAGGAAAAAAAACCCTGATTGTCAAAGATTCTGATAAATAAACCCAAGTCAGTGCTGGGGCAGGTTCTTTAGCATGCTAATTCCTGCTTATACCAGCTCTACCTGCAAATAAGGCTCTAAACAAACTATTTCTACTACAAGGGGAGGGTAATTATACTGACAAAGGCACCTCTGTGTCGGGTTGGGCAGAAGGAGCCGGCAGGTCTGGGAGACGCAGGCTTAGCCTAGTCTCCTGCAGTGAATGCACATTGTCTAGTGCAGGGGGAAAAATGCCAGACTGGGGGGACCTAGCAGCATTCAAGACAACAGTGGTGCACCTTGTCTGAGAGGGTTATTTAATGCTTCTGGCACCTGTAGTTACAGCCACCCCCTCTTTTTCTCTTTTACAGGTTTAGAATTTATTTGGCATGTATAATTGTTATTTTGATCCTATAGCTACAAACAATAGGCAGCATGTCATTTCTTGATCATTTTGCATTCTTCTTGGGTTTTACTACAGACTTAACCCTTTGGAATCAGAGCCCTAACAGCACCCAACAGGTTTTGTAACTGTCTGTCAAATTTTACCGGTGTTTGCTTTCAAGGGCTGCAATTTTTTTTCTACTGTAAAATGACATTGCCTTAAAAGCTACCATAGGTTTTTATTCACATAGATTTATACAAACCAAAATAAGAAACTGATTTAGAACATCAAGTTAGAGGAATAAAACACTGCTTTCAAATGCTCTATCAGCAATTTTGATTCAGTTTGCAGAAAAGAAATATAGCAGTTTTTATTTGGAAGAGCATTTTTTTGGTTAATTTCAAAGGAAATTTCTGAAAAGCAGGTTCTCATATATGACAACACAGTCACAAATGTGTGTGTTCACAGGCAAGGTGGATGCAAATGAATGTAACTCAAAACTTTTATTACTCTGTTTTTCCTACGTTTATCATCCTGCTGTAAACCCTCAACGTCAAAACTTGAAATACCTCAGCTGTTATCAAAGGAACCAGATGAGAGCCTGGTACACATCCTGTCACCTGAGATTACACTTTCCAGGTCAACACACCAGAAGCTCATTTTTTAAGTATTTGGAGGTGGGGGGAGGGGAGAAAGAGAAGATTTTGAAAGCATTTCTGATCAGTTTTGGAAATGAAAACCGTGTTGGCAATATCAGCCAAAGCACAGACCCAAGCTTAATACCTTATAGTATTTCTAAAAATAAACATTACCACAACCAACATATCCTTTCCTTGAAGAATCATTTACTACTATATTGTTTAATGTCATCCTAGGATCCAGAATAACTTTGTTGTGTATAACTATGGAGTGGTACTGTCTATTATGCTGTAAAGTGCTATTCAGAATGATTATTTATAAGAAGAATAACATTTTATTAAAAATTTTATAGCAGATATTACATAGATATGAATTTCTATGATGTTCAAAATAAGCAGGTATACTTACAGTGTTTATTTACATGAACACTTTAAAGATGTCTTACAAAACCAATAGAATATAAATTCAACTGACTTTACAGGACTATATGCATGTTAATGCATTAAAACAGGCAGAAGACAGAAAATGTATTAGCTAATCTTGGACGATGACTTCAATATTCAACTGTGACCAGAAATTAACTAAAATCTATTAAAAATATTGAAAACCAGAAATGTATCCTTTCCTATTTCTGCCAACACAAATGACGTTTTGCATTAGATTAAATGCTATTTTCCCTTACTATGTTGTCTCTATATTTTTAAGAACGGCTGTCATCTAGAGAACATCTGAAGCTAAAGAATTTACTAGTTACAAGCTTCCATGCCCTGGTGCTTTCAGAAGAACAATTACTGGCAGAAAGAATACAAAGAGAGAAAACAAATTCCTTCTGCAAAAGTGTTGTTACATGCCTCCCCAAAGCAGGAGCTGGATCTTGAGAAGTACAATGTTTTAAAATACTTATTTATACATATAGTTCAGAATTTTAGACAAAGGCAAAAAAAATATTTGCTTTCTACCTTTAAAGAACTACAGGGGTTCAACCCAGCAGTCATCTTAACGACC